AGGCGGACATGTAGGCCATGATCTGGACAAGGTCGGAAATGGCAGCGCCCGGCTCTACCTCCCCGGGCTTGGAAATCTCCCGGGGCTCGGGGGGCCCACGAAAAACTCCTGGCTCGGTCTTCCATGCGTCAGCCACCCTGCCTGATTCGACGCACGAGCGGCAGCTTGACTGGTCCATTTTTCGGCGCGGGACAGACGCCCCATCTGCTCGCACTGATACGGGGCGCGAAGGGCACGCACCAGGTCGGAACATCTGAAGACATCGTCCTGGACGACCCAGGGGTGATGTTCCTCTCCCCCTGCCTGGCGAACGAGTTCGCGATGCTTCTCATGCCGTAGCAAGGCGAGCGCCTCCCCGAGCATGAACCCACCACTCCGCCGGCCCACGCTCGACGCGAGCGCGCCCAGGGGTGGACGCCGCCTCCTTCCAACAGAGCTGGACTGGACAATCCCGGCCCAGGAATAGCGCTCGCCCAGCGCCCTCAGCTCTGCGACGCGGCAAGACGACAACCTCGCAGCACGGGGCCTAGGAATAGGACGCTGGCTTGACCTGTCTGGCGGCCTCCTCCTCTTCTTCCTCCTCCCCCCCCTCCTCCTCCCCCTCCCCCTCCTCACCCAAACGGAGGTGCCGTGGAGGTGCTGACCAGCGTTCAGAATCTGGCTCGACGCCCCGGCCATAAGTTCCACGTCGCCGAACCTCGCGCATCGAGGGGGGGGGGGGCGGGCCCATCCAGCCCGACGCGCCCCAGCACGCGCGGGCCCCACGCCCTGCGCGAAGATGCACGGCGGCGCCCGCCAAACCTTCAGGGCCGCGACCCCGCGGGCGAATCGGCTTCGCCATGCCCGCCCTGGCATCGGCGGACAGGACAGCCGAGGAGAGCCTGCCTGGGTGGCCAGTTTCTTGCGAGCCGAACCAGGGCGACACGCGCGCCCCATCCCACGGCGAGAGGTCGGCACCGACTGCCATACCCCCCTGCGAAACATGGCCTTGCGAACACGATCTTCGCCTAGCAAGTGGCCCCTTCACCGCTGGACATACAGCGCCCACCCACGTCATCAGCACATGGGACATCACTGAATCGAGTAGGAGGACGCCCCATGGCGTCATCCCCCAGGCCACTGCCAGCGCAAGCGCCACGAGCAGGGCCCGCGGGGACGTCGCCATTCAGTCTGGCGACGGCAGGTCCAGCAGTCCTGCCAGACGGCGACGGGAGTGCGATTGTCGACGCCCATTGTGGAGGCCGCCAGCTGAAAAGTCGACGGTCGCGGGGACCTCAAGCCCTGGCCCCAAATCACCGCGCTGCTCGGGGAGCTCCTCGCGCCGCCGCTTGACCCTCTGTCTCCCTTGGATACTGGACTTGCTGTTCGGGTTGGATTGTTTCTCGCGTGGCGAGGGCATGGCAGTTTCCGAGAACACAAGGCATGGAACCACCACGCTTCCGACGACCCCGCTGCCTCCTCGATCCCACACTGAGCACCCCCCAGCACGCTCAGAACTTGCCTCGGAGCGACGGCATGCCCAAAGCCCTGCTCGACGCCCGCGAAATCGATGGTAGAACCGTGGCCTGTGTCACAGGTCGCCGACCCTGGCGCTGCGATAACGACACCATTCCATTCATCTGGGCAGCGCGAGGCAGCCACCTCCAGGGGCGTCATGTCCAGCCTGCCCAGATAATATACGAGACGGCAAGCATGCAAATGAACGCGATCGGGGCGATCAGCTTCTCACGCACTGAGCTTGCGATGGCGCCATGGGCTCGAGGTAGCATGCAATGACCACCGTGGTACCCCGCCTGCGATGCCCAAACACGACGGCGGACCCACGGCACGAGCAAACGTGGTATATTGAAATACGTTCTGCTTTCAGGCGGTCAAAGGTCGCGGCATCTACACGCTCGCGGGAGAGTGCCGTGTCGCCGCAAAGATACCTTTGGTCGACCAGCCCATCGGGAGGACAGCGCACCGAGAGGCTTCCGAAACGTCCTCGTCTATGTTGAGGAAAAGGCCCCATGCGCCTTCATCCGAAGAATCTGTGCCTCAACCACTGCCGCTGCCTGATGCTGCTTGCCCGGTTCAGCCAGCCACCCCTCCGGCTGGGGGCCCCACTCCGTGGCCTTGGAAAAACAAAGGTTTGCCTGCGGCGGCGGGGCCGACAGCGGCAACGCTAAAGGCCTTAGGACGCGCACATTTGCGGCGACATTCGCGGCGGCATTCGCGGCCATCGCGGGGGCGCCCAATGGGCCGATGCTGCCTCCGCGAAGGTCTATTTGCACTGGGCGGGCTCCGCTTGGGCAAGGGGGTCCTCTCGCATCAGTTTGATACGCTCGGCGTCGAGCGCTGGAGTGCTGGAGGCCGAGCTAGCTGGCGCTGCCACTGGAGGATGAGGGGCTGCTGGACCGGCGGGAGGCGCGTCGACAGGCTCATCTGCTCCACGCCGCCGCGCGGTGGCCCTGTCGTCGGTGTACCTGTGAACCTGAACCATGAGGGTCTGCAGCTCAGAGACCGCCTGTTCCGGTTAGGGCCTCGGTTGTTCCAGCTTGGATTCGTAGCCCATGAATGCTGCCTTCTCCGTCACGTCAATGTCATAAGTGTCATGAAGCTCGAAGCGGTCGGAATCGTTGCTCATATTGTTGGTGGCCTCCGCCGAAGAAAAAAAACGCGGCGACCTGCTCAGCATGCAGACTGGCAAGCGCATTTGGAACTCATGTTCGGCGTCGGACTGGTCCTCGATGCGCTGGAGATGGGTCTCCTCCAATCGCTGCAGTTCCTAAGGGCACCGTAGCACAGCGCTGGCCGCCTTAATGTAGGCGGCAGTGGCCCTGGCGAGGGCGCTCTTGGCCGACTGGGCCAGGTCCCACATGTCCTCGGGCGGGGGCCTGGCGACCATAGCGTTGTGCATACGAGTTGCGGATGGCGAGGGCGACGTCTTGCAGGATTCGGGCGAGGAGAGGAGCATTCGCATCTTGGCCTCAGGGTTGAGCCCCGAGGCCGATCCG